CGGTGAGAGAGGAGGGCGGTGCTTGTGACTTTGAGGGGCTCCGGACCAATTTGCCTTCCCGAAGTGTAAAACCGCGGGGCTGGAGAATGCTCTGCCAGATCTGGAGCGTCACGGCTGGAACGCGCTTTACTGCACGAGCGGGCTCTTCATCCTCGTTGGTCCCGTCGCCGAGGCCGTCAGGGTTTCGAGAACCGCCTGCAGGCTCGGACTCGGCGTGTGGTGCTACACGACACACGATCAGCAATATGGGTGGGTGCATACAGGAGAACACACACGTTCACATTCAAGACTGAGAACGGGCTCCGGCGGCGGGCGGGAGACATCATAGTGCTCCTCATCGCACCTCCCTGCGCATGCCTTGTGAGATGCATGCACATCAAGGATGTTATTGGCGACGATGCCTTACCGTGTAACTTGAAGCAGTCCCAGAACCACTGCTCCCAGATTATGTGTATGTCGGCCTCTTTGCGGGCGTTGAATTTGGTCGCATACTGCATCTTTTCTGAGGGCTGCTCGATGCTGGTTGCGCAGAGGAGGTGCGTGACACGAACGGGACGCTCGATGTTTTTGACGTAGGCACCGCCTTGCGAGGTGACAAGACGGTTGATCTCTGTGCGACGTGCGACGTCTTCGATGCCAGAAACGCAAAGGACGATACCGGAAAAGATAGGGAGGCGGTGTGCGCGAACGCTCTAAGAGAGCGGGTGAGGGCAGGCGGACAAAAGAGGAGAGGGACATACCTCTTCGAGGTTCACGTCATCGCCGCGTAGCCAGACCCTGTAGCTTTCCGATATCCAGTCTGGGTGCATGATCGGTATCCGTCTCTCCAGTGCGCACTGGTGTGGTAGTGTCAGCGTGGGTAGAGAAGCCATGAGGAGGACGCACTTTGTGTTTTGCACTGCCAGACTCGAGGGCGAGAAGATGTGTGACCTTGTCGGTGAGGTCACTGAGAGGTTGTGCGCCGAGTTCGATGGCCTGCTTGAAGAGTGTCGTCTAGAAAGCGGTCTGTGTGTCTGGGCGGGTCTCGAGGAGAGCGGGGACAGACCTTGTCGTTGATGCCGGTTGCACAGAGGACGACGGACTTGAAAGGTCTTGGGCAGATGTCTACAAACGCCTGTGTGGCGTCCTGCTGCGAGTCGAAGCCCGAGTCGAGGCTGCGACCCTGCTCTTGCGGCGGACGCTTGCTGGGCTGGGCTGGGCGGAGTTTGACATTGGGAACCTGGGTAAGGTGTGAGGGCGGTGGTACGAGAGGGGTGCGTGTAGCAGCAGCGACATGCCTTGTTTGACTTGTTCCTGCGATAGACCATTCTGGGAGGAGGCGGAGGCCGGGGGGTCGGACGAGACGGACGCGGGGCGGGGCGGGGCGGGGGTGGGGGCGGGGGCGGGCGGTGGAGGCGAGTTTAGGGCAGGCTGTTTCGCGTGCGTCACGTGATGCAGGTCCCCTTGGCCGAGGGCGGGTCTCCTAACTGGATATGGCCTCAGCCGTCAGCCTCCACCCTGATCGCCCTCCCGTCCCCGCGCCATCTAAGTCTCGGCGCCTCCCATCTCCCGTCCCCGCGCCATCTAGTCTCGGCGCCTCCCATCTCCCGTCTCCTCTCCTCCTCCCCGTCCTCTCTTCTTTTCCTGCTCCCTCATTCCACCCGCCCACCACGTACATAAACCCTCTCTGCGCCTTCTCCCGCCAGCGTCCTGCCCGTCTCATTTTTTTGCCTTCTACCTTTTGACATCTCGTCTGATCACGCCGCCCGTCCTTCTTCCCCGTCTTCGCATCCATACGGGTCTTACGCAGGCCGTCTCCACGCCAGACATGTCCTGCGCTGTCGCAGCCGACAGCATGTCCTCACCATCTTCTTCCTCGACATCGCTGTCTTCTCCGGATGCGACGTCCTCTTCCCGGTGCCTCGCCGACGACACCGCCGAGCCGCTCACTCGTTCTGCTCCGCCGGCGAAAGAGCAGAAAAAGCGCGGCCGTGTCACGCCAGAGCAACTCGTCGTGCTCGAGGCCCTATTTGCCGACAACCATAGCCCGAATGCCATCCTTCGCAAGGAGATCAGCGGGCAGCTCGGCATGGCCGAGCGCCAGACCCAGATCTGGTTCCAGAATAGGTAGTGTGCTCCTCGACTCTTACGGTCCGAGCCAGGCTAAAGTAGGCGTTGCAGGAGAGCAAAGGAGAAGCAAGGCAAAGGCAAAAAACCTGGCGCAAAGGAAAAGCCCACGGCCTCGACGCAGGAGTCTCCCCCCGCCCCGCCTCTCCAGCCGCCCAGCATAGTACTTTTCCCGTCTCAGGATGCCGAGATCCAAACTCGCATCCGCGAAGATGACCGTAGGTCCTACTCACTCTCAGTGCGACCAGCCACTGAAACACGAGTCCTTCAGCGGTTATCGTCATTCCATGCACTCAGCTCTCCATCGGCACCTGGGTACGTGTTGCCGCAACGGATGGGGACGCCTCCCAGCGGCACGACCTGCTCGCATACATCTGTGATGCACAGAATCGTCTCACTTGGTTTGTACATCACCGTGACGAAGCCGTCGAGCACGCTGTACGTATGGACATTGCGCTCGACAGCGTCGTTGACGCCACCCTCGCCCCCACTTCTCCCAGCGCCTCTCCCATCTCTTCTGTCTCGTCCAGCGCAGAAACCAGTAGCAGCAATGACGATCAAGCCTCACGCCTCACGCTTCTCCTCGCCTACTCGCCGCTCTTCTTCATGACCGTTACGCCCCCAGACGGCGGCGTCCCTGTATGGGCGCCTTGTGGCGATTGGACTGAGGGCTTACAAGCCAGTGTGGTGCTTCGGCATGAGCTTTTAGGCGCGTGTGCACCGCTTACCTACCTCTGGACGCGCCTTCGCACCGGGCCTGCGCGCGCCCCGTGGGGCTCGCCCTACCAGCCGACTCTCCCTCACCCTCACATGCCGAGCTCGCCAACGACCGCACTGCCGGTGGGCGCACCCCCCTCGCCGCCCATCCGCGAACTTTCTGACCTCTCCATGGAGCAACAGTTCCAGTCGCCTGCCTCGTCGCGTCCTGGTTCGGTGTACGACCCCTCATATCTCCCAGCCTACGCACCACAGACTGCCACTCGCTTCGCGACGATACGCTTGCCAGTCAGCCTCGCTTCCTTGCGCACCGCACCCCCAATGGGTCAGCTCGCGACCCCGTCTACATCATCGTACTCGAGCATGAGCAGCCCGCTGAGCCCGCTGTTCGTGCAGACGCCCAGCGCATACTCGGAGGACGCGGGCCAGGAGTGTCAGCGAGAGTACATGGGAGCGCACGGCGCAGAGTACAACGAGTACGACGAGTACCTCAAGGTCGACTTCAATGAGCAGTCGCCCGGCTTTGCTCACGCCTTTCCTTCTCCTACCCCGTTCAGCGACGGCGCGGGACAAGACATGTTCCTCCCCCCAAGCCTAAGCCGCCGACTATCAGCTCCTGTCATGCCCATGTCTGTGCCGCAGCCCGAAAGGCAGCTGGAGCGCGCTCAGGGCACACAGGGACTCGCCTATCACCACTCCGCCCTCGCGCGTACCTTCTTGCCGGGACACACCCGAAATCGTTGCGGAGACGCTCCCAGGGCCCAGCGCAGATCGGTTGACTCCTCCACAGGGAGTAGCCCCGCAGCCGGCCAGGGCCAGCCGGGCATCTCACAAGGACAACGCAGAGACTAAATTAAAGCGTATGTTATTATCTCAATCTCGTGTCTTCTTACATTAGAGAGTACCTTAAAGTGCGCTGTCACTGCCCTAGGCATGTCTGGCGGCCGTTCGTATCATAGGATCGTCTTACAAAGGCTAGAATGTACCGTACTTCCTGCGACGCTTGACGCGGCGTGTAAATCCAGATTGCGGAAATGCTTGAGCAACGTGTCCCTCTGGGCTGTCCTCACAGACACCTCAAACATCGCCAAGAGAATCGCGTTCCTGGGTGCGTGTGCCACTGAATAAAAAAAAAGAACAAAAAAAAACATGTTACGTGGACAGCAAATGTGAAATCCACCCGGAGGTCCGTGCGCGGCCGACGATCTTCCAGATCATATCGTCGCCTTACGGATCAGTGAGCGTAAGCGCGGACGACGTGCGCGGACGGCCGAGGCGACTCGTCGCTCTGGTCTGTCGATTCGGTTGCAGAGCAAGCCAGAGCAACGGTTGCGCGGTGAGACACTGCTAGTGATTCACCGGCCGCCAAAAATAACGAGGGGCGTGAGCCTCGTTCCCCACCGCCTTCGTCCCTTCGTCTTATTGCAGCCCTGAGTTGAATATCTCTGGACGCTCCTCGGCAGACTCGCGCATTGACCATCGCCCTACGCCTACGTAAAACGTGGATTCAATGCGCCCGTGGATGCAAGCCGTGTGGGCGAGACGAAACGAGTGTCCCAGACCAGTTGTAACAGCGCCCGGTAGAGTGTATCAGCTAGGGACTTTTAGGGCTCGGAGCTAGACCTAGTTCGCAAGTCTGTATGCTGACGACAGTCCCAAAGCGCAGTCAAGGCGCCCGAGGACTTGGAGACCTAGGTATACAGCTGATACGCGATACTCGATACACTCTGGTGGGCAAATACCATTGCCCACTAGAGTGTATCGAGTATCACAGCAAAATCCGAGGTAAGCGACAGAGAGACAAGGCACGATGATGGCGTTCCCGTGTGTGTGGGGAGCAGCAAGTTGAAGAAAGGCGTGACGAAGGTTTCAGCCGGTTTCTCTTTCCGTAAAGTGACTAGTGGTCGGTGCGTGCACATTGCCGTTGTTTGCCACATCTTCCAACGCGGCCTATCGGACAGAGCGATAGCATTTGCTACGCAGTGCACCTACCTATCGCAGACGTGCCCCAACGG